GGGGGGGGGGGGGGGGCTTGGCTCGACGATGGCCGAGCTGTGCGGGAAGCCGCATGGGCCTGAGGTCGTGCTGGAAATGGAGAAATATGCTACGACACGCCTCTTCTCTGCGCTTCTCTTCGTCGTGCTCGTTCACATCTGTCGATCGCAGCGATATGGGGACCGCCTGGGTGTAGTGATTGTTGTCAGATGTACCACTGAGAACACCACGATGCCCGGGAGGAACCGAATGATAGAGAGGCGGAGACGTTTCGTGCAGAGCGACCAGACAGAGTATGCGCGTGCCTCTTGTCCAGCAGTAGCCTGAGGCTCGGCGACGCTTCTGGTACGCGTAGCCTTTGCGAATTCGATGGTCCGCAGCCTGGAAAAGCGCGTAAGAACAGCCTGCATGTGCCTATTCGCAGCTCGAGCTGCGCAGGCATTACGATTAGGGCATGCCAGTCCCGGGAGAATCGCTTTGGCTTGCACGGACGGAGAAAGCATCCGAGGTGCAGGACCCTCAGTTATAAGCTCGTCGCAGTACCTGTCGCTGATTGTAAAGTTCATTTTGGCGAATACGCTATCGCGGCCGTCACGTCGGACACAACGACATGACATGGGTATTGAACCTGAACTGAAGATTTGAGGCGAACCGGGCTCGAGGACGGCGCGTCTCAAGCTGGAGGCGCACACGCCCGCTTGGGGTCGCGCGCTCGGATATATCCGAGCCAATCGCGGTCAGAGCTCAACTTCTCTTGGACTGCACTCGGAACGATAGCATCCTGTACTGTTATTGAAGCTGTGGAGGTCCAGGATTTGAAGGCATCGCATGGGCGGCCGTGTCTTCCTGTGAGTGGCGCCTTCATTCCTGTGCTTATTATATATATTTCTAGTCCCACGGGCCGTGCCACAGCTCGCGGGTGGATCGACATCGAGGTTGGACTGGAGTTGTTTCGAGCCATAGCTGAGGCTGCTCGCCCGTTCCCTTCCCCGTGTGTACTTCCGACCGAGATGTCGTGCGATCGAATCTGGGAAAAGTCTCGCTGCGAATTTCCGTGCTGCTAATGGCTAAATCTCGGCCAGCCTAGCACTCGCGCTTCGAGGAGCTTGGCCCAGGAGGCGGACAATCTTGCGCGCATGAAACTGAATCGTCAAGCCTTGGCAGAATAGCTTGTGGGCGAGCCGCGAGATATGCGGCGAGAAGTCTCTGCGAACTGGTCGCCGCAAGGAATAACCACGAACGGGAGAATAGGTGGCAGCCCAATATTCCCGCTCCCGAGCGTTACTCAGAAGCCAGTCCCATATGTTTGCACCCAACAGCCGCGTCAGCCGTGCTCGAGCTTCGTGTGGTGGCGAGAGTTCTCCCGAGTACT